CATGACCTATTATACATTTAGTCCTTATTTACACTTTCAGTTTCTCACACCAGAGAAACTATTTGGTATTTACACATCTGTGTCCTATTTATTTCACTTAAGAGTATTGCCTCAATGTGCAGGGGATACACTTTTATATTAAAACTTTAGTTAACCAGAATTAGGGGAGCTTGTTCTGCAATGGTTAATTGAATTTTGGATATCTAAAGAATAATCAGTAGAACTTTGGGTGGCACTATTCTTTATTGTCAAAAATCTTCCTCATGTGTATCAGTACCCTTTCTTGCTTTAGTAAATACATAATGGTTTGTTTCCCCTACCTGTCTGTGAAAGAACCACATCTAAATTATCTGTCCTAGTCCCTTGCACAAGGAAACTCTGGGATAAAAAGAAGTATAAAATAAAAATTTCTTAAACAATTTTGTTGTTGAAAATAATCTAATCTTTGGGATTTGGCATGCAGTCTACTGATTTTTTCCCCCCTAGTAAGCTAAACATTTATACATTACAGTATGTTGTTTCAAGTATATAGATAAGGTTTTGGGAAACATCAGTTAAAAAAGCAACACAGAGTAGAAGGTGGTGGTGCATGCTTGTAATTCTAGGTACTTGGAAGGCTGAGGCAGGTGAATCACAAATTCAAGGCCAGCCTGGGGAGCTTGTTGAGACTCTGTCTCCATGAAACAAGGAGGGGGAAGGGGATAGAAATGTGGCTCAGTGGGAAGACTCGACCTAGCGTCTGTGAGGCCAAGCAACACACACACAACACAAAATGAAAGCAAGACATAAATGTTATAGAACATAATAATTTTAAATGTTGTTTGAACATTGGAAATATAGTGGGGTGGGTTTTTAATTTTGAAAAGAATTTTATGCTTTGGCAGATCGCACTGGCTTTAATCATGTAGAGAGAAGACTTAAGAGCACAAGAATCATCACACTTGTATCTGTGACTAATGTATTTTGCTTCCCTCTCCTACATTTAGTCTGTTGACTTTAGTATTTTAAGTATGTTTTATATTTACATAATTTATTTCTTTAGGTTTGTTCTCTAGATAAAAAGGTAATTCTCTGAAACATTTTTGGTTTATTTATAGATTGGTCAAAGAAAAAGTGATGTATGAAAAAGAAGCAAAGCAACAAGAAGAAAAGATTGAAAAAATGAAAGCTGAAGATGGCGAAAATTATGCCATTAAAAAGCAGGTAACGTTCTGTCTTAAACAGTAAAAGCTGATGTTTACAGAACATCATGTCAACTAATGTTTTTACAGTGGCCTCTGAGATGATGTTATATTGTATTTTTTCACCATTAAAATATCCACTTAAAGATAAGGACATTGAAACACAGGTGAAATAACTGCCCACAGCTACACATCTAAATGGCAAAGCTGGGATTTGAGCACAAGCATTATGGCTATGGATTGAATTTGCACTCTTAAACTGTAAGCTCTTCTGCCTCTCTAGTTCTAAATATTAAATGTAAAAACAGGGCAGTCTTATACTGAATATGCTTATATTTTTTAATTCAGAAATATTTCCTTTAAACTGATGTGCGAATATCACCAAAATAAAATATGTTACACTTCTCAATGGCTACTTACAATTGTCTCAAGACAAATTTTGATCTCCTTAGCTCTTCTTGATTTCAGCATCTGCTAATCTCTCTAACTAATCTCTTATCAGTCCCTACCTGGATCCCTTATGTTTATGCTTCTAAGCTTCCTTAACATGTCTTTTCTTCTTTACTACTGAGATTTTACACATCTTGGATGCTCTTTTTACTTCTTTTACCTACCCTTTCCTGATTAATTCCTGTTTACCCTGTAAGCCTTTTATACCCACTTCTATACTGACCTAGGTATATCCATCCTTAACACTCCCATAATACATTCTGTATTCCACCATACCATTTACTGAATTTTCACTCCCAGCTGACATTTGCTTCATAATTCCTCAAAAAAAAAAAAAAAGAGGCTGTTGAGGAACTTTCTTATATTCTCACTGCAAAATCATTTCATCCTGCCTGCATCTCTACCCCTACTGCCATCTTTCCTATGAAAGTGGATCATGTGCCCCAGCTGAGCTTATGATGTTGTATGATGTTTTTCAGTGATGTTGTTGTCATCGCTCCTTCGTACTCATCCTGTGCACCTCAACGGCACTTGACACAAGTAAACACTTTGTCCTTGAAAAATTATTTTATGTGGGTATATTTGACAGAACAACCTCTTGTTTTTCTTCCTGATTTACTGCTATCATTCCTAGGTCTCTTGTTAAACCTTTCACTCCTTCCACATGTATATATAATATATATATATAATTTTTAACTGCCTTGTCCTTCACTAGGTAATCTCATACCTTCCTTAAGTAAGCCTTTACATCCATTCATTCAGCAGAATTTATTGAACATCTGCTACATGTCAAACACTGCCCATTTAGGCATTAAATAAAGCAACAACAATCTAAAATGTACTAATAGGGCCGGGGATTTAGCTTAGTGGTCCCCCACCTGCCTCTCAAGCACACCGTAGTGAAGATGAAGTACCACAAGGTTCCCTCATGCTGCATCTTTATAGCTACCCATATCCTCTGTACCACCTAAGCCCTAAGTACTTATAATTATACCATTTCAAGAATGTCATGTCCTTCCACATAATTCAGCATTTGAGGTCCATTGAAGTTCTTGGGTAATTTATTCCTTATTATTGCTGAGTAGTAGTCCATGATATCAATGTACTACAGTTTGACCATCAAAGGACATTTAGATTATTCTAGGTGCTTGGCTATTATGAAAAAAGCAGCTGTGAATATTTGTGTACAGTTTTGATGTGAAGATAAAAGGTCTTTTTATTTCTCTAAGACAAATGCCCAAGAGCGCAGTTGCTAAACCTTATTAGTTTAACCTTATTAGTTTTGTTTTAAAAGGAACACCAGACTCTTCCAGAGTGTGTACCATTTTACATTCCTACCAACAATGTATGAATGGCTCAGTTTTTTTACATCTTTACCAGCATTCAGTGTTGTCACTGTTTTATTTTAGCATTTAAAACTCACCTATATGGTAGTTCTGTAGTGATATCTCATTGTACTTGTAACTTGCATTTCTTTAGCAGCTGTTCAGCATCTTTCCATGTGTTTATTTGCTATCTATAACTAGTCTAGCCTCTTCAGTGAAATGACTGTTCATGTCTTTTGTCTACTTTCTATTTGGATGTGTTTTTTACTTTAGTTTTGAGAGTTCTTTATATCTAGAGTCATGCTTTTTGTCAGATATGTGGTTTGCAAATATTTCTTTGTAATTTATCTTTTTATCTTCTTAACAAAGACTCTCACTGAGCATCAGTTTTTAATTTTGAGAATGTCGAATTTACCAGTACAGTACTTCCTTTTGGTCTCAAGTCTAAGCCTCTGGTAGTCCTAGTCCCAAAGATTCTATTCTTTTTCTGCAAGTTGTGGCGTTTTATATTTTACATGTAAGTCTTTGATCCATTGAGCTAATTTTTATTTAAAGTGTGAGATTTAGTGTGAAGTTCATCTTCCTACAAGTGAATGCCCAGTTGCTCCAACAGCATTTGTGAAAAAGCGTCCTTCTTTGATTGAATTGCTTTTATATCTTGGTCAAAAGCAGTTGGACATGTTTGTGTGGATCTATTTTTGGTTTCTGTCTTCTGATCCATTAATCTTTATCCTTTTGTAGCTACATAGTAAACCATAATATTGGGAAGGCCGAGTCTTCTCACTGTGCTCTCCCCGACCAAAAGAAATTGTTTTAACTATTCTCATTCTTAAGCCTTTCTGTGCAAATTTTAAAATAGGCTTGTCTATGCCTCCAAAACATCTTTTGATGGAAATTGCATCAAGCCTGTATATCATTTTGGGAAGAATTTATGTCTTGTCTTTGAGATCTGTGATCACTGAGCATAGCAGGTCCTTCCAGTTTAAGTCTTGCTTCCTTCCTTAGCATTTTGTAGTCTTCAGCATGTGGATCCATCATTTTCTTTGGAGCAGTTTCCACATAGTGTTTGTGGAACACTATGATACATAAGTGCAAGGGATTTTTGTATGTGTGTATCCTAATAACTTGCAACTTTGCTCAAAAAACTTATTCTAGGAAGGTTTTTGATTTTGTAGATTCCTTCTTATTTTTCATATAGACAATCATGTCATTTGCAAAGAGGAGACAGTTTTATTTTTTCATTTTTAATCTCCATAATAACTTTTTTTTCTTACCTTATTGTGCTGGCTATAACCAATAATACCAAACTGAATAAGAGTGGTAAGAATGGGGAAAAAAACATGTAGTCTTTTACCACTAATAATGTTAGCTGTATGTTGCTTTCCTTCTGTTCCTAGATTGCAAAGTATTTTTGCCTTGAATGGTTGTTGGATCTTGTCAACTACTTTTTTCCTGAGTTGTTTGATAAAATTATGTGAGTATTCTTTTTACAGCCTGTTGATATCACAGATTTCATGGATTGATTTTCAAATATTGAAGCTTTCTTGCATACCTGGAATAAATCCTATTTAATCATGGTATATAATTCATTCATTGCTAGATTCACTTTGCTAATACTTGGTTGAAGATTTTCACATCTAAATTTGTGAGAGATACTGGTCTTCAGTTCTGGGGATTTGTTTCAGTTTTTTATACTGTCTTTGGTTTTGGGATCCAGCTTAGTATTAGTCTGATAAAATGAGTTGAAAAGCCTTCTCACCTTCAGTGTTTATGAAAGATTTGTGTAGATTAGTGTTAATTCTTTAAGTGTTCGGTAAAATTGTCCTGGAGAGGTTTTTTTTAGAACTTTTAAAATTACAACTTTAGTTTCTTTAATGATTATAAAGTTATTTAGATTATCTGGTTGAGTTTTGGGGGCTTATAGATTCTGAAGAATTAGTCCATTCCAAGTTGTTATGAGCATAATGAACAGAATTGTAATTAGTTATAGTATTTATTCTTTTAGTGGTTGGAGGATCTTTAGTGAAAACCTCTAATTGTATTCCTTTTCTTGATTTACACTTTCTCACTTTGTTTTGCTAATGTTATAGTCAATTATTTTCTTTTCAAAAATAATATCTTTGTTTCATTGTTTTCTCTATTTTGTTGTTTTATTTGTGCTTATTTCATTCTAATTTTATTTGTGGTCATTTCCTTCTTTCTGCTTGGTTTGAATTTGTTTTGCTCTTCTTTTTCTGTGTCCTTATAATAAGAATATGGACTCTTAATATGAAACCTTTCCTCTTTCCTAATGTAAGCATTTAGTGCTATAAAATCTCTCAGTAGTGGACTAGCTGTATCTTACAAAAAATAATTTTTTTCATTTTCTTTTATATATTTCTGTATTTCCTTTAAGACTTTCTTATTGGCCTGTGAGTTTTTAAAATTTTTTTATTTTTATCAGTACGTATTTGCAGTATGTATTGATTACATTTATTGTGAGGAGTTGGTACATGTATGTAACACATCTTAATTCTTTTCTTCGTCCCCTTCCCCTCTCATCCCTCCCTGCTCCTTCCATCTTTTGGTCCCCATACCATTTGCAAAAGTTCTATCTCCATTTTTTTCTCCTAATTCTTTTTCTTCATTCCTTTGCCCTCCCCTCCCTCTGTCTTCCAACCCTTGTTCTTCTTCTCATTAGAAAAAAAAATCACCCTATTTCCTATTTATGTATTATTTTACTCTTTATTTATATTTTGGGTTTCTTGTGTAAGACAAACCATGTAATATTTAAGCTTGTGACTCTGATTTATTTCACTTAACATTATAGTCTCGAGGTGCATCCATTTACCCATGAATGAGTTTTTTTCTGAGTTATTTACAAATATGTTGTTTAATTACTAAGTGAAGATTTTCCTTCTTTCTGTCATAATGTCTAATTGTACTCCATCATAGTTAGAAAATATATCATGTATGGCTTCAGTTCTTCTAGCTTTGTTTTTGTTTCTTTGTTTCATTTTTGTTGCTGTTATTTGACCCAGAATATGATCTGCTGCAGTAATTGTTTCCTGGGTGCTCTATAGCATTTGTATTCTTCTTTCTTAGGTGGAGTGTTTTGCTCTCCTTTCTAAGGCAGAGTGCTGTGTAAGTGTCAATTACAACTTACTGGTTCATAGTGTTGTCCAATTCTTTCGTATTTTTGCTGATTTTTTAATATTTCTATCAATTACCAAAAGTGAGATATTGAAGTCCCAACTGTATATATGGA